ACATAGGCATTTTCCGGAAGTAGAACTTTTCTCCCCTTCTCTTGATCCTCTAAAGGCAATGATTCTACAACTCCAGCACCCTTCCAGTTACCTTATGTTCTCACCTTAACTAATTTCGCACTTCCAGCAGGGATAGTTACCTTCTCAGCCAACCATAACTTCCTCTCTAATACTTCCTCCACTGCACTAATGCTGTTTACTTCCGGTTCCCTTCTCTCTGCTTTCCACACAGCTGGAAGTACTTGTGCATACTTCTTGGTTTCTTTATCATACTCTCCTGACTTTAATCATGAAGGGAAAAGGTTTGCCATAGGCACTGCACAGTCTTGTTAACCTTTCCTGGCCCTTACTTCCGGTAACGAGTTTCACTTCCTTCTCCGTACAGGATATAGACGCTTCCTGTTGACAAAAAAACTCTATACCAAAATTCACAGCATGATTCAGGCCTTCTATCACAATCGGTTCTACTTCAAATCTACGATCCAGGCCATCCAAGTAAAACTTAATTCTTTCGCCTTTCCCTAATACTCTCAATCCTTTCCCGCCTTTATCCACCATACGAACTCTAGCGTTACTTTCCTCTAGCATTTTTCCCCCGATCTTCTTCCAGAATTCACTTGAAACTAAAGTACCTTTCACTAAATTGCCTGTGTCTACTAAGGCTAACCCGTATATATCTGGTTTAAATAACTTGAATTTCACATATGAGGTTTTGCAGTTGTCTTTCTCGACTAAATTAACATTGTTCAGATGCATGAAAATATTCCTTTCCCATTCTCTTAGTTTGAGCTCTTTATGTCTGTTAGGTCTCAAACTACCTCTCACTTCCGGGTTAAAATCATTAGATACCTTCTTGACATTGTCTTTATTATCTATGACTTCCGTTCTAACTTTGTCATCTCTCACTTCCGGTACTAATTCACAAGATTCATGGATCTTTGGATTAACAGAAATGTTTATTTAACGATTAGTACCCAGCTATCCAAATTGCGTAAGCAACGTAAACGCATAATATTTTGGCTCCAATTACGCAATTAAAACGCAAATTTGCGTAAGTCTAGATTTTAATTGGGCAGAGAATTTAAAGCGCTACATAGCACACTGGTTTTTAGTACCAAATTTTACCGCTAGGTGTCTCTGTTTGTTTTACGTAAAATTTAAGAAAAGTAAAAAGGTACAGATTAAATTTTTTACTAAAAGTATATCATTTAGAAGTCAAGATTTAGGTTTTAAATTATTTTAAATTTTTTTGAATAAAACATTTTTATTAGGAAAATGCACTGAATTTTCTATCAGAAATTTTTATATAACTTTTATAACTCCCTACTAATTATAAATCTAGAAGCAGTAATCTCTATGTAAAACTGAATTCCCTGATGAATGGAATCAGTTTAGAGAGATACTCATACTGCATCCATCCATCCAACTACAGGGATGGATGGCATGTCTGCATGCATCAAATTTGCTTAGATTTAGCATAATTTTGGTGAAAGAGATCTGACATGTTAATTGAGAAAATAATAATGCGCATTTTCGACGTAAATTTGTATAATATTATTACGTAAATTTTAAGTATACTAAAACCAATAAATTTGCGATTTTACGTCTTTCATGACGTAAAAAGAACAAAAATCTCTAAGTAAAATTTACGTAAAAATGCGAAAAGTGATGTTTAAATTGCGCTCTTTTTGCGCAATTTGGCTATCTGGGTAACTACATTCAAATCATTATGTTCTGCAATCCAGGAGCTGACGACCGTCCGTCATCGCAATTCCCTAGGGAAAAACCGCCTCAGGTACAATTTTCTACAAAACCTCCTGCACAGCTGCCAAAGATTTTGCCATATTCGCCATTTGTCTGCCTCCATTCTCTCTCCTTCCCTGGTTTCTCTGTTCTCCTCTGTATTCCAGTGAAATATGACCCTCTTTCCCGCAGTTGTAACACAAAATTGAGGGTCTGGAACTGGCCTTATGAGTGTCACCTCTGTACTTCCTGTTAGGATTCTTCCTCTTACATTCATTAACCTTCCTGCAATCCCTTTTCTGGTGACCAGGTTTCTTGCAAAAATAACACACATCTCCGCCCTGGAGGGCATTTATCCTGCTCTCAGCATCCAATTCTTCAGTATCTGACTTGTCCTCCACCAGCCCTGGCATGGCGTTGACGTCCATGGGCACCTGTCCTGTCTTCAACATCTTGTTGGCCTTGTTCATCTCGCTATTATCATACCCATATGTACTCTGTACGCCTGCCATATCCTGTGCTGGAGCCCTGGGGTCCATGTTATAAGTCCTCAGGTTCACTAGCTGGTGGTCCAGAACTGCCTTAATCTCCCTCTCATGCTTAATATCTTTAGGCATAAACATCAGGCAAGTTTTCCTCAGTTCAGCATTGTATAATCCTAACAACATATTAGACTTGAACTCGACTAAACTCCCCCTGGCTGGGGGGTAGGCTTGCACAAATAACCTTAGCTTGTCTGTGTAATACTGACGAGCATCTTCATTTCTCGCCTGTCTCCTGTGCAAGTATTCCATCTTCCTGCCCTCCTCGTCCTTCTTGTGAGTTAACTTCTTCAATAATTCTTGAAAGAATTCACCAATCTCATAGTTGTCTAAAGCTAATCCATCAGGTTTAAACAATTCTATCTCAGACTGTGCTTTTCCTGTTATACAGTCTAAAAGCATCCTTTTTATGGCATCATTAGGGATTGTTTCATACTCAAATCTTGACAGATGCTTCTCTAATTCGCCACACCAGTCAAACACCTTACTAGGGTTACCATCATATGTTGGGGCTCTACTGCTAAAATCCAACAGTCTCTTCTTATACTCAGCTTCCGCCCTGCTCAGATCTTGTAACGTCATCCTATCTCCTCTGCCTGCTGCCTTCTCCGCCTTCAGAAAGGACACATAAACTTCTTGTGCATCTTCCACCTTAGGGCGTTCTAGTCTTGCAACTACTCTTCCGATAGGGTCCTGTGTCTCTGGTGTCGCTGACTCCTGCCACATCTGGGCCAATGATTTATCCTTATCTTTCTGTTCAATATCCGCCAATTTATTCTTAGTCTCCGTCAGCTGGGCTTGGAGCAGCTGAAACTGCTGCCTTATTTCCGCCATGTCATCTATCGCTGGATGAGATTGTCCCTCCATCTCTACTTCCGATCCAGAATTGTCACTGGGTAAACTTGGATATCCTTGAAAGGTAGCCACTGTATTTCCTGTAGCCACACTTGATTCACTCACAGGCAATTCCTCTCCTGTTAAAACTTCTCTGGCTAATCCGTTAAACCAGGTTTTCACTTTACTATTTTCCGGAATACTTTCAGAGTCTCAGGGATCTAGATTTGGGGTCCTAGGTTATCCCACCGCTGCCACCACCTTTGTAATAAATCTAGGTCTTGAGATTACGCTAATCAAAGTCTAATTATAGTCTCACTGACTCTATCTCTAGCCAAAACTCAAGGCTCTATATTCGTCCGTATAATACGAAGGTTCATGTAGTACTAAATTTATTTATATACAGGTATATCAAACTGACCGGATTGGCCAGTCAGAGCAACATTGAAATAGATAAGACATATATTGATAACATAGATAATAAAGATAGTGATAAGCATTACAACAGAAAATGCTACATTACGACGCCCAGCCATACTCCCATCCCGAACCCTTTACAACGCCCAGCCATACTCCCATCCCAAACCCTTTATGACGCCCAGCCATACTCCCATCCCAAACCTTTTACGATGCCCAGCCATACTCCCATCCCGAACCATTTACGACGCCCAGCCATACTCCCATCCCGAACCCTTTACGACGCCAGCCTATACTTCCATCCAGAACCCTTTACGACGCCCAGACATACTGCCATCCAGAACCCTTTATGACGCCCAGAATACTCCCATCCCGAACCCTTTACTACGCCCAGCCATACTCCCATCCTGAACCCTTTACAATGCCCAGCCATACTCCCATCCGGAACCCTTTACGACGCCCAGACATACTCCCATCCCGAACCCTTTACGACGCCCAGCCATACTCCCATCCGGAACCCTTTACGACGCCCAGACATACTCCCATCCAGAACCCTTTATGACGCCCAGAATACTCCCATCCCGAACCCTTTACTACGCCCAGCCATACTCCCATCCTGAACCCTTTACAATGCCCAGCCATACTCCCATCCGGAACCCTTTACGACGCCCAGACATACTCCCATCCCGAACCCTTTACGACGCCCAGACATACTCTCATCCAGAACCCTATACGACGCTCAGACTAACTCACATCCCGAACCCTTTACGACGCCCAGCTATACTTCCATCCAGAACCCTTTAAACAACAAATTTTGTCTGCCCTGAGCTGAAAACTTTAGAATGAAATATCCAATTTGAAGATAAAGTTGCTTCTCTGGAGTTTAAATTCATGTGGAGAACAAGCAATATTTAAACTGGATATTAAGAAAAAGAGTGGTTTAACCCTTAATCCTGATATCCACCATTCTAAAGTTTTCAGCTCTGGTCTTTTACTGAGTAATGAGTATAATGTCCCAAATTAAACTGCAAAGGGGATACGTTGCTGTCCAAAAATGAATATGAAGTATGAACTGACAAAGGAACTGAGTTTTTGCAAAAACTTAATTTTTCTTTATCTTTGCTTAACCTGATGATGTAAACCTTTGATATTTCAAACTTAGAGTATTTGATCTAACAGGCTTTATAGTCTGACATCGTGTCGCAAAGATTTAGGAAATAAAAAATTAAAGTTTGTGGCAAAAACTCATTTCGTTTTGCAACTTGCCAGAGGGGTCGAAAAATTAGCAATATTGCCATATTGGTGGAATTGGTGCTGACAAAATAAAAGTGAAGAAACGATTACGACCAACACTATACAACAAATTATGATTATGTCAAAAAAAACATATTTTTTGAAAATCATATAAGATAGGTTGTCAAAAAGTACCTGAGTATATTGATAAGCTGGAAGTATTCCAAGAAGTTGAAAAATACCTGAGTATATTGTTAATCTGGAAATATTCCAAGAAGTTGAAAAGTACCTGAGTATATTGATAAGCTGGAAGTATTCCAAGAAGTTGAAAAGTACCTGAGTATATTGATAAGCTGGAAGTATTCCAAGAAGTTGAAAAGTACCTGAGTATATTGTTAAGCTGGAAGTATTCCAAGAAGTTAAAAAGTACCTGAGTATATTGTTAAGCTGGAAGTATTCCAAGAAGTTGAAAAGTACCTGAGTATATTGTTAAGCTGGAAGTATTCCAAGAGGTTGAAAAGTACCTGAGTATATTGTTAAGCTGGAAGTATTCCAAGAAGTTGAAAAATACCTGAGTATATTGTTAATCTGGAAATATTCCAAGAAGTTGAAAAGTACCTGAGTATATTGTTAAGCTGGAAGTATTCCAAGAAGTTGAAAAATACCTAAGTATATTGTTAAGCTTGAAGTATTCCAAGAAGTTGAAAAATACCTGAGTATATTGTTAAGCTGGAAGTATTCCAAGAAGTTCAGACGTACCTGAGTATATTGTCTAACTGGAAGTATTCCAAGAAGTTTAGGAGTAGTCGGGGAAGGTTACAGATCACCATTATACAGACTAGCAAGATCAGAACCAGAGCTAGGTTTAGCTCATACCGTACACGTGCTTTCCTGTACATAACATACCGTACACATTCTTTCCTGTACATAACATAACATGCCGTACACGTTATTTCTTGTACATAACATAACATACCGTACATGTTCTTTCTGTACATAACATACCTTACAAGTGGTTTCCTGTAAATATAATATAGTTCACGTGGTTTCCTGTACATAACGTAACATACAAATGCTTTCCTCTACTTTATATAACATACCGTACACATGCTTTCCTGTTCATATCATACCGTAAAAATTCTTTCCTAAATAAAACATATCTTGTACGTGCGCAATGTGCATTCCTGTATATAAAATACCGTACACATGCTTTCCTGTACATAACATACCATAAACGTTCTTTCCTGTACATGGCATGCTGCAGACATGCTTTTCTGTACATCACATACCGTACACGTGCATTTCTGTAAATACTTACCATACATGTGCTTTTCTGTACATAACATACCGTACACGTGATTTTCTATACATTACATACAGTACACGTGCTTTTCTGTACGCAACATGCCGTACATGTGCTTTCTAGTTCATTAAACACTGTACATGTGCTTTCCTGTACATAACATGCCATACATGTAATTTCCTGCACAAAACACATCGAATAAATTAATAAATGAATAAATGAATGAATGAATAAATGAATAAACGAAAGAATGAATAAATAAATGAATAAATGAATAAAAAATGAATAAATGGATAAATAAATGAATAAATGAATAAATAAATGAATAAATGAATAAATAAATGAATTAATGAATAAATGAATGAATAAATAAATAATTATAAGTAGATGAATATTTAAATAAATGAATAGATAAATAATTATGAATAAACGAAAAGATAAATAAATGAATAAATAAATAACTGAATAAATGGATATGTGAATAAATGAATTCGTGAATAAATGAATCAATGAATAAATGAATAAATGAATAAATGAATAAATTAATAAATAAATAAATGCATAAATGAAAAAATGAACACATGAATAAATTAATAAATGAATAAATTAATAAATAAAAGGATGAATAAATGAATAAATGAATAAATGAATAAATGAAAGGATGAATAAATGAATAAATGAATAAATGAAAGGATGAATAAATGAATAAATGAATAAATGAATAAATGAATAAATGAATAAATGAATAAATGAATAAATGAATAAATGAATGAATAAATGAATAAATAAATGAATTAATGAATAAATGAATGAATAAATAAATAATTATAAGTAGATGAATATTTAAATAAATGAATAGATAAATAATTATGAATAAACGAAAAGATAAATAAATGAATAAATAAATAACTGAATAAATGGATATGTGAATAAATGAATTCGTGAATAAATGAATCAATGAATAAATGAATAAATGAATAAATGAATAAATTAATAAATAAATAAATGCATAAATGAAAAAATGAACACATGAATAAATTAATAAATGAATAAATTAATAAATAAATAAATGCATTAATGAATAAATGAATAAATTAATGAATAAATGAATAAATTAATGAATTAATAAATGATTAAATTAATAAATGAATAAATGAAAAAATGAATAAATGAATAAATGAATAAATGAATAAATGAATAAATAAATACCTATTATGAGTAAGCTCTGTTTCCCTGGGAGGATTCCTGTTAACCAGTCGTTCTCTGGATTGTAAGATTCCCTACAACAAATATTAATCATTTTAAAAATGTCATTTTTAAAAATACAAAATTCCAGAATATTTTATAAAAATTTTAACCCTGTAAATTCTTTTAAAAAATCCCCTGAAAATTCTTGAAAAATATTTACCCTGTAAATTCTTGAAAAATATTTACCCTTTAAAATCTTGTAAAATATTTACCCTGTAAATTCTTGTAAAATATTTACCCTGCAAATTCTTTTAAAATATTTACCCTGCAAATTCTTTCAAAATATTTACCCTTTTAATTCTTGTAAAATATTTACCCTGTAAATTCTTGTAAAATATTTACCCTGTAAATTCTTGTAAAATTTTTACCCTGTAAATTCTTGTAAATATTTACCCTGTAAATTCTTGTAAAATATTTAGCTTACAAATTCTTGTAAAATATTTACCCTGTAAATTCTTGTAAAATATTTAGCTTATAAATTCTTGTAAAACATTTACCCTGTAAATTCTTGTAAAATATTTACCCTGTAAATTCTGATGTTGAGGTATATTAGAGTGCAGATTGGTAAAGCACCCGTCAGTAAAACCCTTTACAAATATTTGTGAGTTTTTATAAAAGCAGGGACCGAGTTTAACAGATTTGAGCTGCATCGCTGATCTTAATACTGCCGGTTCAAATTTGAACCACTGTTTCAAAGTTTAGATTAGGGAAGGATTTGAATCGGGGATTGAAATCTGAACCGGCGCGGAAAGCAGTTTAAATTCAATAAATACAGTACCTGGTTATTATAAAGAAACATTTTATAAAATAGCGTTTATATAAAGTAGAGTTTTATGTGAAAGCGTTTATATAAAGTAATTACTTTTTATATAATCGCGTTAATATAAAGTTACATTTTAATAGAGTTTATATAAACAAAAGTATCGTTTTAATATCTATATAATATGAAGTACAAAGTTGTAATTTCTATTTGTCTGTTTGTATTGTCCGATCATAACTCAGGTATCCCAGGACCGATTGGCTCCAAATTTTTATAACAAAGGTAGACGTTTTATAGAGAAAGATTTATTTCCAGGCAAAGCTTGGTTCCCCTTCCCAAGCTGGCATATTATATACAGTGAAACCCTTAATAACGAATACATCGAAAAAATTCATCAAATGTCGTATTCTTCATTTTCTGATAATGGAATGTTGCAGATATTTAGTTTTTTAATTTAATGATTATATGGAACTCTTTAAAACTGTTCCCGCATATTCATGTCTATTTATTTATTTTCGCAAATACTGAAATTTACGTAATATAGTATAAAACTCATTGAAAAATTGTCAAGGCGACATTTGATAAATTCTTCTGATGTATTCGTTATTAAGGGTTTCACTGTATACAGTGAATCCCAGATATATGAATACATAGACCGTCATAAGTTTTTTGATAATTCTAAAGAAACTTCTTTTTATTTTTAATTCAAGGTAAATGAGTAGCCCTGAAAAATAAATGCAATTGATATGTTAATATTAAACTCATTTTTCGCGGCATTTGATCTTAAATATGTAATACGACATTATAAAAAACTCTTGCTATGTATTCATATATCTGGGATTCACTGTATATGAACAGTTTTGAACAGATTTTTTTATTTGCATGTCTTTTAAATAGTATCTTTTTATACGTGGCATAGAAGACGACTGTTGGTCTAAAGTTATGAATTTCTTTAGATTAATGAAAAGAAAAAAGAAAATAAGTTGATTTGCTTATCAGATAAACATATAGTTGCTTAAATGTCGTCTTCCTAGTCCAAGAGTTTTATGGGTCTCTCTGTTTATGTAGTATCGTTTCTGTATATCCCCCCCGTAAGTCGTCTTTACCAAAAACCTCCCACAGAGAAAAACCAAACCAATGCAATTCTCTGTTCAAATTATCTATACTCATTGACAAAGAACAAACAAACACTTAAACGTTTTGCTCAGTGAAAGATCAAATCCATAAATAACTTTGCAATCAATAGTTAATTTCACAGGGTTTATGCTTTTAGAAGTATTTACAAATGTTTAAACTATTCCATCAAACCCTCAAACCCTTATCACTCCTTTCACTCCGTCACGAAAAACTAGTAAGATGTATTTAAAATATTTGACTAAATTAATAAATTGTAATTTTTATATTGCATTATACCTGTATTTTATTACAGGTTTGAAATATATCTATTTACTGATTATTGGAGACTACTGTGTCCGAGTTGAGGAGCCCGACCAACGAACCTATTGATCAAAGAACCTATCGAACAACCAACCAACCGACCAACCCACCAACTGACCAACCCACCAACCGACCAATCAACCAAATGACCAACCAGCCAACCTAACAAGTTATTGCCGACTCCCACCTACGGTTTTACAATAGCATCTTATTATGTGGAAGTGTTTAAAAAGTATAGCCTTTTAGTTTTTTATATGACATGATATGATATGATATGATATGATATGATATGATATGATTCACTGACTTGTGTATTTCATAATACCATTTCGGGGATTTCAGTCCCAGAAATACTTTTATTTTCTTATCCTTTTTAGGGATAAAAATGCTACACATTAAAAACACGCTAAAAGGTTGCTACGTGATACCCATTAAAGTATGGAATAAGACTCAGTCTTGATTTAAAATAATCCATGCATTGAACATGAGATACTTATTACTTAAATTCTTCCTTTGTCACACTTTTTTACATAGTTTTTTATTTAAAAATGGAATTTAGAGACATACATATTTACAGACCTGGTCCAGAATGTGTAGTACTTGATGTAAGCCGGATTATTCCTTAGATCTGACATTCTGTAGAATAAAATATATAAGTTGCAATGTATGGGATAGTAAAATTTGAGTTTGTGGCAAATACTTAATTCCTTTAAAAAATCTACCTGATATGAACTTCGTATTCTATTTCCGTCGAATTTGTGACAAATCTACAAAAATAAATTAATAAATACATTACATAAACGTGTTTTAAGGGAGCGTTCACGAAAAATGTAAGGGGGGATAGGCGGATCCGTGATTTTTAACAATTTTCTTCTTATAAACGCAACAGATTTCGAATTCAATTCGACAACAACCTATACCCCCTTAAATTCTTCACGAACACTCCCTTCAATGGAGAGACAATAGTATTATCAAATATCTATATATTTTGTACAGTTCATCCTAACCATCTTTTAAGATTTGTTCCTAATTGAAATTTGAGAGTCGTGTTTTAGCATTAGAAAATTTATAGTTTAGTTCATAAATACTTAAGGCTTATTCGGCCGGATAATAAATAACAAATAGGCAAATAAATAAAAACAGATTTACAAAAAACATATTTGTTGACGGATAACAGCAACACGCTAGACAAATCAGAATAGTAGGCCGGTAAGGATTCTGGTGGGGGATGTTTATTATCCCCAGACAATTCTTTCCCCGATGGCCGAACAATACACACACAACAGAGTAACCCCGTCTCAGAAATTCGATAACAAAATCTTTATTTCCTAAAAAAATAACATAGATTATAGATCATGGTTACTTGTACAATGTTATAATAAATGTTAATAGTAGAAAAAATCTTACGAATTATTTGATTATGGTCGGGGGTGACTTATTTGTTGATCAGTATTGAAATACGTTTTTTTTAACTTCTGAAAAATTACAGTTGAATATTTAACGAAATTCACTTATGCTTCTTATGAAAATATTTTGCTTAACTTTAATGATTTCACAACAACGAAAATATTTTAAGCTCCGTCGGAGGAGGACAATGGAATTTGCGGGCTGAAAATTTGGTTTGGCTGTCTCCGACAGGAGATTCAAGTTGAAGACGACATTTTATAGAGGTTTTATAATTAATGGTTAACAATATTCCTAAAGCCGACTGCGAAGAAGTATTCTTTGTGGATATGTTCAGTTCAGTATTTCAAATTAGTAATTCCCAAATAGATTCTAGTACAATAGATGGCAACGTAGAATTTGTACACTCTCAGTATAGCTGTATTCTGACGTCATAAGTGTTAATTTAGTTTTTGTGTCCGACAAAATTGTTAATAATAATGATAATTTTAGAATAAAGTGTTTATCTCACAGTAAAATAAGTGCATTTTAATGTGTAATTTATTTTCTGTTTTTACACTTGATTGTTTAATCTTGGAAAACATGTCAACTAATGTGAGAAAGTTTTGTTTTCCTTGTTATATTTGACACTTGTGACGTCATTTATAATTGGTTTATTTTTCTGTTGTCACATACTGTTCTTTATTATCAATTTGGTAATTCCCCAAAAATATTGCTGTATTATTTTTCCTTTCCTTGCTCCGGGCCTGAGAATAACAGAAAATTGATTTTTATAGTTTAAATCGAATCTCTAAAGCTTATACCTCCTAAGTGTTTTGCTTGGTTTTTATGCAAAAAAAAAATAGAGTTCCGCTTCCCAAAACTTGGGTAGGTTTAGAAGAAGGCTTAGAACCACAACACCAACTGTATGCCCTACCCACCTACAACATTAACAAACAATAACAAACAATAACAAACCATAAAAAAATGACAAACCATAGCAAACAAAAACAAACCATAACAATCAAAAACAAAAAATAACAAACAATTTCAAACTATAGCAAACAATGACAATAATAACAGCCAATACCAATAATAACAAACAATAACAAGTAATCAAAAACAATAATGAACAATAACAAACAATAACAACCCATTAAAACAAAAACAAACAAACACAAATAAAAACAAACAAAAACAAGCATTGACAAACAATAACCCTCAATTAATGAGACTGCAAAGACGACCTGAAGCACATATTATGAGAAGATTCCTAGGTTAACTTAAACTAAGTCTTCTGCTTTACATATAATCTATAAATGGCAATTATTTATGATTTGGCAAAGAAAAAAAACAAGTTTATACCTAAAGTTTGTCAGAAATGCTAGTTTACTCCTACTTTACAAAGTGCAATAAACCTCTTTGCTATTCTTACAAAAAAATAATATAATTTTGATGAGATTTTTGTACATGCTTAATCTAATACATCCCAAACTTAAAAACTAAAAAATCAATTTTCGGTTTTATTTGGGCACCTTGGTATAATATTAATATTCATATCTTAGCTTAATATTTAACATCTTGTAAACGTATGTTTTTTTGAATTATGAGTTGGATGAGTTTAACTAGAATTGGATGAGTGTATACCTAGAGTTGGATGAATATATACCTAGAGTTGGATGAGAATACACCTAGAGTTGGATGGCTATACCTAGAGTTGGATGGCTATACCTAGAGTTGGATGAATAGATACCTAGAGTTGGATGAGTATACACCGAGAGTTGGATGAGTTTAACTAGAGTTGGATGAATATATACCTAGAGTTGGATGGCTATACCTAGAGTTGGATGAGTATATACCTAGAGTTGGATTAGTATATACCTAGAGTTGGATGAGTATTTACCTAGAGTTGGATGAGTATATACCTAGAGTTGGATGAGTTTAACTAGAGTTGGATGAAGATATACCTAGAGTTGGATGAGTATATACGTAGAGTTGGATGGCTATACCTAGAGTTGGATGAGTTTAACTAGAGTTGGATGAGTATATACCTAGAGTTGGATGAGTATATACCTAGAGTTGGATGGCTATACCTAGAGTTGGATGAGTTTAACTAGAGTTGGATGAGTATATACCTAGAGTTGGATGATGATGAGTTTGTACTCCTGAAGTGTGTCGGATAACAAACAGCTCTAAATCTCTCCCAAGCTATGAGCACAGTAAGGAAGGTACAGCAGCAAAGACTAAAATATTTAAAAAAATTTAAGTTGTGTTTTCCCGTAAGTAAAAACTTTTTAAAATTTTTTTTCCATGTTCTTCTTTAAGACATATCTATACGAAATGTTACCTATACAGAATGTTATCTATACAAAATGTTACCTAGATACAGAATGTTATCTATATGAAATTTTACCTATACAGAATGTTATCTATATGAAATGTTAACTTAACAGAATGTTATCTATACAAAGTGTTACCAATACAGAATGTTACCCATACAGAAGGTTATCTATTCGAAAGGTTACCAATACGAAATGTTATCTATACAAAATATTACCTATACAAAATGTTACCTGGCCTATGCAAAATGTTATCTATATGAAATGCTACCTTTACAAACTGTACTATACGAAATGTTACTTTACGAAAATGTGCCGTTCAAAACGTTGCTGATCGCGTATTTATAATGCGTATATAATAAACGAAACGTTACTGATCCCTTATTTATAATGCGTATATACGAAACGTTACTGATCCTGTATTTATAATGCTTATATACGAAATGTTACTGCTCCAGTATTTATAATGCGTATATACGAAATGTTACTGATCCCGTATTTATAATGCGTATATACAAAACGTTACTGATCCCGTATTTATAATGCATATATACAAAACGTTACTGATTTCGTATTTATAATGCGTATATATGAAATGTTACTGATCCCGTATTTATAATGCATATATACGAAGCCTTACTGATCCTGTATTTATAATACTTATATGTGAAATGTTATTGATCCTCTATTAATAATGCATATATATGAAACGTTACTGATCCCTTATTTATAATGCATATATACGAAACGTTACTGATCCTGTATTTATAATGCTTATATGTGAAATGTTACTGATCCCGTATTTATAATGAGTATATAAGAAACGATACTGATCCCGTATTTATAATGCGTATATACGAAACGTTACTGATCCCGTATTTATAATGCGTATATATGAAACGTTACTGATCCCGTATTTATAATGCGTATATACGAAACGTTACTGATCCCGTATTTTTAATGCGCATACATGTACAAAAACAATTTTGATATGCCTTACATAGCCGTTCAGTTTATGAGGAAGTGTTTTGTGTTGATTGGGAAAAGTGAATACATGTTTATCCAATTTAAAGTTATTTTTAGGAACCCTTTAAACTTTATCGGAATGAAAGAATAGTTCTTGTAAAAGGAGTTTAAATATGTCAATGTCCTTCAGTGTCTCTGCTGCATAAATTCACAAGAGAAACTGTATGGGAGGAAAAAATTAAATAGAAAATTATGAATATCTTTATAAATTTTGACCGGATAAATAAAGCGGATTAAGGTTAATTCTGTTAAAAACTTGGCTTGTATTGTAACCTTTTTCAAATTATTATGTGGACATACAAAACAGCCTCAGAGCCAGGCGTAGATGCAGTGTTATACCTCTGGCAAGACTGTAGTCCACGACGGTGAAGAAGATGAATACCATGTCGAACACCGTCAGCACAATCAGCAGGGAGTTGAATGAGCTCGCCATCTGTTGTCTGAATAGAAGACGACAATTTAAAGTCATTTTTCATCTACTACGCGGCATTTGATCCACAATAAATAAGTAAATCCTCAAAATTGTTGTACATAAAGTTTCCCGTTGGTGTACTGTCCCAGCCTGCCTTCTAAATGGTCTGCAATCTGCATATATTTATTATCTAACCTTAGAAACACAGCCACGGAGATAATGTTACCCATCATACCAATAGCTCCGATAAACATCTAAAAATATTATTTATTATTTACAGGGTGAGTCAAAAAAAAGTGTGATGAACGCGTCTGATGCAAAATTGTACCTTTTTTGTGCAACTATTCTGTATGGTATTTTTCAATATTTTTTTATTTTTTTTGTACTCTATGGTTAAAAACTAAAAAATTGCAAATTATCACATAACAATTTTGCGAATTTTCTGTGATTCTGTCATTCAATATTCACAAAATTTCTGAATTTAATAGAAATAAGAAGTATTCACATTTTTGTTTTTCTCAACTTTTGATTTTGAGAGAGAAAAAAGTTTTGCGGATTTTTTTGGGGCCATTGGAGTTTAGCTGTTAACATTTAACTTTTGAAGTTGAAATGGGTCTGTATACACTGCACATAGGATTGTTTATCGTTTTTGAAAACGATCGTAAAACGCTCGTTTGTTGTATCATTTTTCAATCGTTTTAAAAAACGATCGTTTCGTTTTGATCTTTTAGAAAACGAATAACGATCGTTTTTATAAAACGATTTGCGACCTTTTTTTATACGATTGTTTTTTTAAGAAAATTTATTGACAACTATGTTAACTATTGTTAATGAAGGGTCGTCGTTAGCGATCGTTAACAAAGGGTCTTCGTTAACGATCGTTAACGAAACGACGAGTTTTTTTAAAATGATCGTTTTGAAAAACGATCGCTTTAAAAAATGAACTTTTTCAAAAAATTATAGTTTTTAAAAACAGTAATATAGTATGGTCCCTGGCTGGGCATATCCGTTACAATTTCTTCTTTTTTATAAAGTTTATGCTAAAATGAACTCGGTAATGTAAAGTAAAGCTTATGCTGAAATGAACTCGGGAATGCATGACAGGTTGTCAGAGAATTGATTTAGAAAAAACTAAATAATTTTTAGGAACATTTGTTTTTACAAAAGATGTTCCAGAGCCCAAAATGTATGAAGTACACGTGCAGTATGGAAACATTAAAACAAAATGGCGGTTTTAAACTTTTTTCGACTTAATTTCACCCTACACTTATCTATTCTCTTTGTTCATAAATTAAAGATAAAAATACTGAACATGTTTTCCATATATTTATGAAAAGAAATTTCGACATCAAAACTAGAAATGCCGAAACAAAAAATCCAGGAAATGTTTCTTTAGTTAGCTAAGAAAGCCGGCAGAAATTTTAGATAGTTTAAAAAAAATGTTTACGAAATATTAAAATAAAATTGTACTGACCAACCCAACCCCTTCCATCCAATATGAGCAGGTTTGAATTGTCTCAACATCAGATTTTGTTAAATATCCACAGTCGTCTTCTTCCCTACATCAATAAGTTGAGACATTAAAAAGGGTGTCATGAGGTCACAAGATCCCTGACAGTTAAGAGATGAGATGGAACTAAATTTCCAGCAAAATGGGGAATCGATTCGCGAAAATTTTATAATTTGAGAGATAATTTTTTCGCAATTCGTTTGTAGAACATTTTCGCAAAATTCTCTATCGTTTTCGCTTCCTTTCGCAAAATTTATTTTTGCGAATAAATGCGAAATTTCGCAAAAAAAGGCTTATAAATCTACGAAAGAAAATTTTAGCGATTTTGCATTTTTTTGCTGAAAGTTAATTTGAAAAATAAACTTCTTGATTCAAAAACTACTCAATACCCCCCTATTCCTGGCATTTAAAATTAGCGGATAATTGATTACGGAAATGCCAGGACTAGCTTTATTTTGTGACTGTTGTTTCAAGAATCATGCAGGTAATTTCCTAGAGAACGATTTTTGGACCCCCCCCCCGGCCCCCCCCCCCCCTATCAATTTTGTACATGGATCTTATATGTTATACATGGATATAATTGGCCATGTGGCCGCAGCGCTCGGCCCCCTAGCCTGTCCTAGCCGCAGCGCTCGGCCCATATTCCCCCACCTTACATCTATTTACTTTGATATAAATTATATGCAGGAGAGTACATTAATACAGTATGTTCCCTACCCATGTTGACGTACCAAAGCCGTAAATTATTTCAAAGATAAACAAGTCGTCTCTCAACTTTTATGTTTCGTTGGAATAATAATTTCAAAATGAAACCTTGGAAATAATTTAGAAATTACTTTTTAGAATTTTTCTTTTGAATCTCTGATTTTTGATAATTTTCGATCATTTTGTTAGAAATTACGATCATTTTATTCGAAATTACGATCATCTTGTTCGAAATTACGATCATATTGTTTAAAATTATGAGATTCTGCTTTTAGTTAGCGTTGAAACAAATTATGAGCAGAAAGTTATGGATATCTCATAAAGGAGCTAACCTCTTTTAACAAACTCAATTTGTCTGATCCCTATATCTTTGCAACCTGGCGGTGTAAACCTTTGATATTTCAAACTTAGATTATTTGATCCAACGCCATAGTTTGAAATATATAAGGTCTACGACATTGGGTTGCAAAGATTTAGGGATAAGAAAATCAGAGTTTGTAGTTAAAACTCATTTCCTTAAGAATTCGCATTTTCGAACAAAAAATTCGTTAGTTTAATCCAGCACTTCGGAGACATCGAAAGAATTTATAGGATGTTATTTTCTAAACCAATTGATAATGGCTGAAGATAGTTAGTATTTCAATTGAATATTGAGCTCTTTAAAACTGTTCCCGCATATTTCATGAAAATTTATTAACTTTTTACATTTACTGAGATTCAAGAGTAAAACCATTAAAAAATTGTCAATACAGCATTTTATATTTTTTCGATTTCTTCGAAGTTTGGGTTAAGTTAGGTTACGAAGGTAATCTAAATGAATATCATTGAAATAGGCAAGTAACATATTTATGTTTTCAATCAACACAATTCAATTTAGTATATTATCCATTTATAGGAATTATTATCAGACTAATAATATTTAAATAATTTAACTATTTTTTTTCATATTTTCAAGCAGAATTATTGAGGGTGATTGGTACAGGGGAAAGGGGGGGGGGAGAAAGAGGTACAAAAGGAACCAGAAAACTGTAGAATAGAAAGACGACTTTATGACTTTAGATAGTCCAATGACCATGGCAATGTGTGCCGAGAACAGAGAACATTTCTACTTTATAAGTTTAATTTAGATTAAAGTATTGGAAGAACTTGATGTTG